CAGTGTCACCCCGCACAGCCCCCGGCCGCCTCCCGCGCAGTGTCACCTCGCACAGCGCTCAGGTACCCCTTTGGTCCACCCCCGCTCCTTTCCAGGCCTCTTTCCTATTATGCAGATGCTGTGTGTGTGGAGGGGCCAGTCACTTGTGTTCCGTGGTCAATGATAAGATGGAGATTTAGGAGGCAGAGAGCCTGCTCAGCAGACGCCAGCACCAGAGAGGCACCCAGCTGGCTAGTGACGAAGAAGTACCTTGGGTCTTTGTTCGGGACATCTGGTTGGGCACTGCTGTCCCTGGTCATAATGCCATTTTACAACATGAAACTCTGGCTCCTAATCCCTGCCCTGGGAAAGAGGCCTCTGTACCCACAACCTTGGCACCAGCCTCAGGCTAACCTGGAAGCCCGCCCCAGGGCTGCTGTCCCATCCCGAACTGTGGGTTGTGACGACTCTGGCTGGTTTTGACTTTGTGGATCTTGAGGGCTTCACTCCAGTCCAAGCCTGGAATTCCTGTCTAGAACAGAGAACACGGTCACAACCTTGTACAGGGTCAACCAACCCCTTCCCCGACTCCCCAGGTCTGCGGCTTTGCCCGTGCACAGCCCTGTCCACTGCTGAAACCCTCCCGAGCTGCAGGCGGTCCTTATCTTCTTCCCAAAGACAGCACCGGCAGGCCAGTGCACTCCCAGGCAGGCCCAGCTCCAGGAGAAGGGAGGTGTGCAGCCACCCTGCCCTCGCCTCAGCCATCCGCTGGGCCATCTGGGCTCACCCCAGCACCTAAGGAAGCAGGAGAGGAAACTTATTCTCACATTGCAGGTGAGCGGCAGGCACAGAGCAGAGCCCAGTCAGCACCTGGTACTGCCGAGTCTTGGAGACGGACCAGCCCCAGGGCTCCCTGTCCCTGCGCTTCTCCCGCAGCTGCCCCCGAAGCCAGGCGGCTTCAGGCCCCTTATGCCTGAAGAGGAATTGCCCTCAGCATTGGGCACAGCCCTGGCCTGCCAAACCTGCTTAAGACCAAAGAGAAAAATAAGGCTCAGAACTCTGTTTTTTTACTCTTTATTAACTGATGCAGAGAATGGATCACAATGACCATCTCAAAAAACTCCCGGTCTTTGCACAGCTCTGCATGTTGGAGGGAGTGGGTCATGCGCTCTTCCTGAGCCTGTGGTGGGGAGGGTGGCGTGGCGGGGGAGGGCAGCCCCCTGGAGGGAGAGGATGAGGCTGGCACTGCTAGCTCCATGTCCTGGGAGCAGCTTTCTCGATGAAAAGACTGCCTCCATTTCTCTGAACAAAAGGGACCTCCTTTAATTCTACCCACTCCTCTGCAAGACAGGGAGCTCAGGAGGGCAGAAGTCCCTGTGTCCCAGGAGCACCTGGCCGAGGTGGTGGTGCCCAGCTAGCCCGGGCTGGCACCCACGTGCACAGGGTTGCTCCTGCCCGGGTTGGATCCTGCCACGATTGGGCGTCAGGCCCTGAGGTCAACAAAGCTGCCTTTCTCCTTGGCAGCTGCACAGCTGGGTGCCACTGGGCAGGCTGCGTGGGCAGGGAATGGATGTGTCCACGGCCAGCACTTGGGTGCCAGGAGGAGAGCTGGGCCAGGCCCCATCAGGTCATTTTCACTCCTGAAGCTTCAAGGTTCAAAATACCAGCTGCCCAAACCATCTGCTGCTCTGTTACTCCTGGGGAAGCAGGTTATCCCCTGGTTGTCCCCTTCTGTCCCCAAAACACCTCGCATGCCGGCGCTCAGCCTTGGGCCTGGCATCCTAAGCCTGCTGCTCTGAGGTGGCTGCAGGGGTGCCACAGCAGGAAGTGACGAGAGCCATAGACTACAGCTATCCTGGCAGCCGCCAGAGGAGGGGCCCAGGGCTGCAGCCCAGGTCAGAGTCGCAGGACCCGGGAACTGCCTGGAGAGAAAGAAAACAGACTAATGGCTCAGGCCAAGAAGATGAACAAGAAATGCAGGCCTCCCCGCCCAGTTTGCCCCCTTACAGTGTTCCAGCATGTTCCATCGGCCACTTCCTGTGGGCTTCAGCAGAGCCTGGGGGCTGCAGTCCTTCCCGCCAGGGCCAGAGCCGCCTAGGGCACACCGGAGAGCTCCAGATGGAGGATCAGGGGCCTGGGTTCTCAGCCCAATACGGCTTCAGACAAATTGCTTAACTTCCCTGAGCCTTAGTTTCTTCTGAAAAGTGGGGCTGCTGACCCACGTGCCTGAGGTCATGAGTCTTCACAGCAGGCACTCAGAAAGTGGGGCCGAGTCTTGTGGAACTTGAACGGTCAGGCCTTTAACTGACCCGCCTAGAAGGAAGGAGGGAAACGACCAGGGAGCAAGGACTGTCTTCCAGAAGCCGGCAGGGCGAGCACCTGGGCCACAGGCGCTGAACAGCCCGGAGGAGGCATCCAGGTGGAGGGAGCCAGGCTGGCGGTGGGAGGAGCTGCTGGGCCCCTGTGGCCAGGCCAGCAAGGCAGGCCCTGCAAGGGTGGAGAAGTGGAGGCCTGGGGAGCTCTGGGCACTCCCTCAAGAACACTGCGTTAGGAGTGGCCACACAGCACTCACGTCTTCGGGACTCCTAGCTCTCTGTTTCCTTTGCTTTCTGAATTTCTTGAAGGTTTGCTTAGATGATGTGCATGTTGCAAGGCAAGGCAGAATGGAGCGGCTTGTGCTAGGTCCCAGAGCTGGAAGGTGAGGGGTCCCAGAGGCCTACAGGCATGGCGCTGGGGGGCCAAGTTCAGCAGTGATCCTGTGTTTCTGCCCGAATTGAGGGCAGGGTCCAGGCGGCCAAGCTCTTCTCTTCCTGCTTTTTGGATGAAGAAAGGGTCAGCGAGGCCGACCCACCTAGACTGACACAGCAGGAGGTGAGAGCTCCAGTGAGCCAACTCCTGTCTGCCAAGGCTCTTCCACGGCTGGCCTCGGGGCACAGTTCAAGGAGGCAGCTCTTAGGAGATGAAAACCTGGGGGGTTCAAGTTCGATCTCTGAGGCAAATCAGACGGGCTCCGCCCCTTTCTCTGCCACTCAGAGCTGTGCCGGCCTCACCGTTTCCTCATCTGTAGAATGGAAATGGCAAGCACTCCACAAAGGCCGCAGGGGCCAATCTCGGGGGTGCTGAGCCCAGCGCCTGCTGGGCCTTAAAGCAGAGAAGGTGACAGCTAACACCTTTACCGCCACCAGAGCTGGGAGGGCCTGGGAGGGGATTCACTCACCGGACGTTCCACACAGATGAGGGACTGCTGCTAGCTTTTATTTATTTAATTAATTATGTTTTGAGACAGAGTCTCACTCTGTCACCCAGGCTGTAGTACAGTGGCACATCGTGGCTCCTTGCAACCTCCACCTCCCGGGTTCAAGCGATTCTCCTGCCTCAGCCTCCCAAGTAGGTGGGATTATAAGCACCCACCACCACATCTAGCTAATTTTTGTATTTTTAGTAGAGACGGGGTTTCACCATGTTGGTCAGGCTGGTCTCAAACTCCTGACCTCGTGATCCACCTGCCTTGGCCTCCCAAAGTGCTGGGATTACAGGCGTTAGCCACCGCGCCTGGCCGAAGGACTGCTTCTAAAAGCTAAGCCAGCCAGACGCAGTGGCTCACGCCTGTAATCCCAGCACTCTGGGAAGCTGAGGTGGGAGGATCACTTGAGCCCAGGAGTTCAAGACCAGCCTAGGCAACATAGTGAGACCCTGCCTCTACAAAAAATAGAAAATTAGCTGGGCATGGTGGTACGTGCCTGTGGTCCCAGCTACTTGGGAGGCTGAGGTGGGAGGATCCTTCGAGCCTGCGAGATCGAGGCTGCAGTGAGCAGTGTTTGTGCCACTGCACTCCACCTCAGCAGCAGAGTAAGACCTTGTCTTAAATAAATAAAAGCTAAGCCTCTGTTAGAACATCCCTAGTAAAGAGGAGCCCAGCACCATGCAAATCAGCTAACTCCATGGTCAGGCTGTGACGGAAAGCGTCTCCTTCCTGGAGCGGAAGCTGTCTCCCTGCAAGCTCCACCCCTTGCCTGCTCTGGTGCCTCGATCATCATCCACTGGAATGCCCTACATACTCAGGACTTCTGCCCTTCCAGACCTCTCTGCCATTCAGGCCCCTCCAGCTGGCGAGGGCCTGAGCACTGCGGTCCGGTGTTGCCCACTCCCGCTTGAGCAGCTCAGCTTGAGCACGATTCACTTGCAACCGCTGTCCCCCAGCGAGTTCCTCACAAAGTGCGGACCTGTGAAGGAGCCTCCTCCTGCATGGAATGCTCTTTGTGTCTTGATAATGGTGATGGCAACTGAGTGGATATATCTGTCAAAAGTCATCCAGCTGTGCGTCTCTAATGGATGAACTGTATGGTTTGGAAATAATGCCTTGATACGGCTGGGGCTTTTTGGGGGGTGGGGGAGGGTGGTTTTGTTGTCGCTGCCCAGGCTGGACCTTCGACCTCCCAGGCTCAAGTGATGTTCCCACCTCAGCCTCCAAGTAGCTGAGACCACAGGCAGGCACTATATCTCGCCTTTTTTTTTTTTTTTTTTTTTTTTTTGAGATGGGGTCTCACTATGCTGCCCAGCCTGGTCTCAAATTCCTGGACTCCAGTGATCTTCCTGCCTCAGCCTCCCAAAGTGCTGGGATTACAGGCATCATCCACTGTGCCCAGCCTGGTTTTTAAAACTAACAAAATTGGAGGGATAAGTTCATATCTTTTGGCTCTTTAATTCCACAGGTAGGAATTTATCCCAAAGAAATGATATGAACAAAGATTTAGCTGTAAGGATGCTTATCACAGAAGTTATTTTCTGGCCAGACGAAGTGGCTCACGCCTGTAATCCTAGCACTTTGGGAGGCCAGGACGGGTGGATCACATGAGGTCTTGAGTTCAAGACCATCCTGGCCAACATGGTGAAACCCCATCTCTACTAAAAATATGAAAATTAGGACAGGCACGGTGGCCTGTAATCCTAGCACTTTGGGAGGCCAAGGCAGGTGGATCATGAGGTCAGGAGTTGGAGACCAGCCTGGCCAACATAGTGAAACCCCATCTCTACTAAAAATTAGCTGGATGTGGTGGATGGTGTCTGTAGTCCCAGCTACTCAGGAGGCTGAGGCAGGAGAATATGTTGAACCCAGAGGCAGAGGTTACAATGAGTTGAGATCGCACCATTGCCCTCCAGCCTGGGCAACAGAGCAAGCCTCTGTCTTAAAAATAGCAATAGTTAAAAATAAAAATTAACTGGATGTGGTGGCACACACCTGTAATCCCAGCTACTCTTGAGGCTGAGGCAGGAGAATCGCTGGAACCCAGGAGGCAGACATTGCAGTGAGCAGAGATTGCACCACTGCAATACAACCTGTGCAGCAGAGTGAGACTCCGTCTCCAAAAAAAAGAGAAAAAGATAGGTAATACATATAGACATGTTACAAAGGAAAAAAAAAAAAAGCAGTGGTTCAAAAGAGCAGAGTGAAAAGCCTCCTCCCACCCCTGGCAGTCCCCATCGCTCAAGTTCCTTTCCCCAGCGGTACCATCTCAGACATCCATCAGAGACCTCTGTGCTCATCTGAGCATATGTGTGTATATTAATACCCCTTCTTAAAACACAAATAGCCTCCGCGCTGCTGTGCACCTTGCTTTTTTGGTACCAGTATATTTAAGATCGCATTCCACGGCTGTGCTGCAATTACCCAGTCCCTGCAGCAGCAGGACGGGGTTGTGGGACGACGTCTCCACGCATCTTACACGCCTGAGCTCCCACCCCACCTAGGAGGATACCTGTAGGGAAAATTCCTTTTAGAGAAACAGCTGCATCAAAGGAAAAGTAGTGCTGTTACTAGCTCCACCTTAGAATACCCGAAATCGTCAGTGGTAAGGAAATAGACAGATACAGTTAGAGATACAGAGCCATATCCGTAGGATAAAATACTGCACGTTTATTAAAATTCACGTTGCAGAACATGTAACATGGACAGGCTTCTACAACTGGTGAAAAGGAAGCGTGCAGTAAGAATCTAGCCATGTGAAAGGCTATCAGTGCATATGCACCCAGCGCACGTTACGGAGCAGAAAGAACTTGTCTGGGGAGGGATTCAGGAGGTATTTATAGTGTCATTTCTGTACTTTCCCATTTTTCTACATTACTGTTGTATTAAGAGGGGAAAAGGCAGACCGCCCTCGGCTGTCCAGGACAGAACTGCGCTGGGAGGCGGGGTGGGCCCGCAGCCCGTCTTAACTGAAAGCGGTCAGCAGTCCCTGCCACCGCGGGACCCTGAAAGGCGCACCCACTCGGGACCCTGCGCTCGGTCCTCACCCCCAACGCCCCTAGAGGGCAGTGACCGGCGGGAGCTGGGTGCCTTGGCCTCCGCACCCCTTGTCCGGCTAGGCCCGGAGGTGGGAGTGAAAGGGAGGCCATTCTGCCGGCTGCCCCCAGGAGGGCGCTGCGAGGGCCGCGGTGCGCTCCCGGCTCGGGGGTGCCCGAACACTGAGTCCGGCGCAAGCGACACCTGCAGTGCCCACGGACCACAGGGGGTGACCTCTGAGGCCGCCAGGGATCCCGGCTCCCGCGCCTCCGCCCTCCCACCACAGGGTGGGGACTCGCCGCGGTCCCTCCCCAGCCCTTACCTGTACGACGTGGTCGCTGCTGCAGCCGCGTCCGCATCTCCAACAGGCAGCACGTAGACCCCGCGGGCGCCGGGCGCACGGGGCGCGGAGGACTTGTCCCTGCGGCCGCCCGTCCCCGGCCCGCGCCCCGGCGGCGCATCCCTGGGCCCGGCGGGCGCCGTCCACACGCCGAAGTCACGCTGGTACTGAGTGAGCGGCACGTCCCGGCCGCGGTCCCGGGCGCCCGCGGGAGGCTGGACCCTGCGCGAGGCGGCGCCGCCCGGGCCCGGCTCCTCGCCGTCCAGGTCCGAGTAGCCGTGCAGGGTCAGCGGCACCGCCACGTCGGAGCGGTCCAGCTGGTTCCAGCGCCGCGCCAGGCAGCACAGGCGGCTGATGCAGGGCCACGCCATGCCAGCCCCGGCGCCCGCCGCCCTGCTCCCCGCGCGCGCGGCGCTCCCGGCCGCGCCTCCCCGCCCGGTGTCCCCGCCCCCGCGGCCCGCCCTGCGCCGCCGCAGCGCCGTCCCCCAGCCCGAGGGTGGCGTCCCGGGAGGGGGCGCACTCGGCAGCAGCCCCAGCTGGAGCTGGACGGGGCGAGGCCAGGGGGAAACGCTACGCCGTCTCCAGGGGGCACTGGAAGCCGCCGGCAGTCATTTACAAGAGTCCAACTTGAAGAATGCTCAGAATTGAATCCAAAGGCCCCTCAATGTCGTCTTACAAACGGCCCTGTGCACTTGTGCCAGGCTGCACCGCAGGGACTCCGCGGGCACAGGGGCGGGTGCAGCACTGAGGGTGTCAGGGAAGACGCGGGGCCCTTCTGCACGGAGAACACGGGTTTCAGTCCGCCTGAGAGTCGCCGCCTATCTGCCTTTACAGTGCGAGTCTACATCTGTGACAAGCAATCCACTTTTCATTAGAATTGGCATTAGCCACCAATCGACCTTTCCCTGGGTTCTGAAATTCCTAATTTTAAAGCATGGCCATTTGCAAAGGCGTTAGTTTTAGAAAGCAGCCACAGAACTGGCTACTAAGCTATCGAGTTCCTTTCCTCCTGCGCCCACATGGCTGTTTCCAGGCCGAGCTGCTGAGGGATCCCCCAGGGGAAAGGCAGGTCTGTTCAATGCACGACACGGTCTCAGACAACCCCCTGGGCACCCACAAGCGCCTTTCTGAATATCTGACACATGCCCTCAGTATACACTGCAGACCAATTACCAATGGCACTACTGAGACAGTATTAATTACCCAGAGCTCCATTTCAAGGTTGGACTTGGAAGGCATCCAGTCTGTGCCTGGCAGAGGACTGCGCAACAGCCCTGGCCAGTCAGAAAAGATTCATCTCCCAAAACATTGCCTGTCTTAGCTTGAAGTTGTAGCAGAGTGACAGGACGGCTGGCCTGAAGTGGCAGCAGGCGCGGGACCAGGAGTAAGGGACACCGGGGTCAGAGTGAACTGCCTTGGGGGAGTGTGCGCTGCGGCCCTGGGTTAGCCCTAGCAGATGACGCTTGTGACTGAAGTTCTCCATCTCGGAGGAGAGAACAGCTTTCTCATTACTTCACTGATCAAACAACCATCAAAGAGCACTTACTATGTGCCAGGAATAATTCCGGGTGCCTTCACGTGGTTTAGTGTGATGGTCACAGATGGAAGTAAGTGTAATTGAACTGACAAAGCCATGTCAGCATGAGAGGGAGGAGGGCTGCGGAAGGCCGGACTTGCCACCTGTCGGGAGGGTGGTTGGACCTGGTGGGAATGTAGGTCACAAGGGAGGAGGGTTCAGCGGGGGTAGCAGAGACCAGACCATGGGGGGTCTTGGTGGCCACACTAAGGAATTTTAGTTTTTCATATGTCTGGGGCGCAGGTGGCTCATGCCTACAATCCCAGCACTTTCGGAGGTCAAGGCAGGAGGACTGCTTCAGCCCAGGAGTTTGAGATCTGTCTGTGCAACACAGTGAGACCCCGTCTCTGCAAAACCTTTAAAAAATTCGCCAGGTGTGGTAGTGTGTGCCGGCAGTCCCAGTTACTTGGGAGACTGAGGCAGGAGCATCACTTGAGCCCAGGAGTTCAAGGCTACAGTGAGCTATGATTGCACCATTACACTCCAGCCTGGACAAGAGAGAGAGACCCTGTCTCCAATAAAAGCTTTTCACAAGTGACCACAAAGGAATGACAGAGGTGTTTTCAACACTCTGGCAGCCATATGGAGCAGCGCAGGGACGCAGTGGAGACCAGCTGGAGGAGCAGGCTCAACAGTCCGGGGACTGAGGGGTGGGGACCACGCAGAGGCACAGGCACTGGGAGAGCCGCGGGCTGGAGTCCGGAAACAAGTGTCAGGCGTCACTCCTTAGGCCGAGTGCTATGTGAGGGGCCTGTGCAGGGTGGGGGTGGCCCCAGTGCCTGGAAGCATGCCCGTGCTGCAGTAGACACATTTAGTAACAGTACGGAGAGATTCTATGGCTCCTGAACTCAAAGCCTCAGATAACTGAGGCCAGAGTGAGCGCCCGTTGAAGCGTGTGCATTTGGAATAAGGGGACAGCGGCCACGGCACATTCCTAGGCGCCCGCACTTCAGATGCCGGTGGAGGCGGCACAGCCCGAGACGCCCACAGGCCGGAGGGCACGACCCTGAAGGCAGGGGTCGAGGGTCCCCAGGGAAGCCGAGAAGAGAAAGGGAGGCATCCTCGTGGGCAGTAAGGAGCGGGGCTGTGGACAGCAAGGCTTTCTGGCCACTACAGAGGCTCCGGCATCCAGGGCTTTTATGGACCAGGAGGTGCTACGGGGACGACTTCTTCCCGGTCACAAAGCAGGGACAGAGAGATGTCTCCATTGCCTCTTTGCCTGGTCTGCCCAAAGCATGATGTGAATTAGTGTTGGACTCAAGGGAATATCCCTGAGAACTCAGCCTCCTAGCCCATCTCTGGAGATCGCATCTTGCCTCATCTATGTCGCAGTGTTGTTAGCAGATGTCAGAGCAAAGCACCGTGACCTTGGCCAGTGACCCTACACCACGTGTGCCCTGTTTCCTCACTGGCAAAATGATGGCTGGGTTAAGAGAATTCTCTCCCAAGAAGTGACAGTTTAGAACAGAACCCGGTGCCTGGAAAGAGTCACTGGTCCATCACAGCAGAAACAAGTCCGCCACGTGAGGCTGACGCCGGAGCCTCCACTCCTCCCAGGACAAACGTGCAAGACTTGGTATAACACTCCGAGGCCATCAAAAGACTGAAAATCCTCCTATAAATCACTCCAAGAGCAAACTCTCAAACCACGTTCCCTGGACGTACTTCTCAGTCACAAGGGTAACTAACATGAATTCCACGCAGCACGGCTGTGACGACACTAACCTGCTATTTCAGTAAGACGCTTCACTTAGAACACACACTTTCAAACAGAAGATAAAATTCGGCTCAGATTCAAGTCGAATTTATCCAAATCACTCCTTCTACCTCTTAATTTATCTACAAATTTAACCTAGAAAGCAGAACCTGAAAATAGCCTTCTGTATGTGCCACTCACTGCCAGAAAACACTCCCTTTCCTGAAAAAATTTAGGAAATACCGCAGCTGTGATTTCAGGCCACGCCAGGGAGGAGATCCTCTTGACTCTTAGGTGCAGCCAGCCCAGGGAAGGGGTAGGTAAGGAAGCGTGAGCGCTGGAGGCTCAACAGACAAGCCGCAGCGCCCTCCTGCTTGATCATGCCTTTCAGCGTGTGCTCCCCAGGTCCTGGCTCACAGGATGTCCATGCAACAACCGAAGCAAGATGCCAGAGCCGTGTCGGCCCCTTAAAGAGAGAACACACACATCTGCTTACAAACTGGACAGAAGCCTTTATTCACAACTTTTCATAATTCACTTTCTAAGACGACAGACCGTGGGACACAGCGAACACCCCCGGGGGCCGATGCCAGCGTCTTCCAGGCGGGAGCAGAGCCGTGCTCACTCGAGGGCCGATGTCTCCGGGGGCTCTCGGGCAGCACAACCAGACGCACCACTACTGTCCAATCCAGTTTTACTTAGAGCCACCTCCTTTTTTGGGGCCATCAGTCCTTATTTCATGCCAGATTTTCACTAGAGGCTCCCTGTTCTTCCAAATCAGTTCATGACCATAAGTAACATACCATCTGGAGAAAAGAAAAACAGCCAGGTCCCACATTCAAACAGCGTGACACACAAATGGCAAGTAGTATGGAGATAGATCGGTTGACAGTTTTGAAACCGAACGCCACTCACTGTGCAGCCTATTCAAACTGATTCACGTAGAGAAACGATCTGGCTTTAGTATTAGAATACGTCAAAGGCAGAAGCAGGATGTGGTGGTGGCTGCATGCTCTGCATGTAAGATCTCACACATACTGCTTTTCATTCACCACTACCTGCAAGTTAAGTCTCACTTCTCCTGTTGCAGACATGAGGCAATCAGGCCTGAAAGAAAGCAGTTTGTCCAAGGTGCTAATAGTTTCTAGGTGGTCAGTCAAGGCTCACTCGCAGGTCAGACTGACTCGGCATCGGAAGCATGAGAATCAGCCCTGAGGATGGCTAGCGCAGCTTACAGGCCTGCCGTCACCTTCCTCCTGGCTACACGAAGGGTGGGCTGCTCAACCAAACTGCGCCCCGCTTTGAGATCCACAGTTCCGATCCCCTCTCTCTTGTTCGCAGCAGCCTAACTGCAGCCTGAAGCACGAGCCTGAGAACTTCGCTTGCTCAGGCTCCACCTAGGAACCAGCAGAGACTAGAGGCCAGCTCTGAAGCCTGCGCCGCGGGCCCTGGACTACGCGGCCGCATGCAGGGAGCGGGGAGCGCCTCCTGTGAGCTGAGCAGCACAGCGGGCACTGAGGAGGGCCTGCCTTGGAGAAGCTCCTGGGGGATCTGGGGGTGTAGGAAGGCTTCCTGGAGGATGTGGGGTGGATTCCCAGTGAGAGCGTGTTACTGACACCTTTGTTTTCATTCTGGCTTCCCTGAGGCAGAGACCAGATCTTGTCGCCTTGCATCTATCTCCCAGACACCCGACTGAAAAAATACTGTTTGACTTAGAGTGGATCAAGATAGCAGTTTAAGGTTTTAATATTTTTTAAAATGTTCTGAATGTGTATGTTTTATTATAAAGGGCTTGATTTGTACCTGAATCTTAATATTCACTATAGTGAAAATCTGATTATATACATTAATTAATAGGCATGTAATAAAATTCTCTGTGATAAAAGTAACAGTCTCTGGTGAATTTAGAACAAGAGAAAAAGGAGTACCCCAATATTCAAATGCAATTGTAAAAAATTCTCCCAAAAAAACACTTTGTTAGGAACTCTTCTTCCCAAATCTTTTTTTTTTTTCTTTTTTTTTTTTGGTGAGGCAGTCTCGCTCTGTCGCCCAGGCTGGAGTGCAGTGGCATGATCTAGTCTCACTGCAACCTCCGCCCCCAGGGTTCAAGCGATTCTCCTGCCTCAGCTTCCCGAGTGGCTGGGATTACGGGCATGCACAACCACACCTAGCTAATTTTTGAATTTTTAATACAGACAGGGTTTCACCATGTTGGTCAGGCTGGTCTCAAACAGCTGACCTCAGGTGATCTGCCTGCCTCGGCCTCCCAAAGTGCCAGGATTACAGGCGTAAGCCACCACACCCAGCCACTCAAATCTTTAATCTACTTATTTCAAGCAAAGAGTCAAATACTTTAATTTTACAGGTATACTGTTCTGATTATACTCATAAATCCAAATGGAATTTTTCATGGGCTAAACTAAAATCAGCAAATGCAGAGGGAGTGATTTCTAGGGCACTCCTCTGCAGCAGCGGCGCAAACCACTGCTCATCTCACACTGCAGCTCTGCGGTTCTTACTTGTGTGACCTGGATAAGTTACTTTCTTTAAGCAGTTTCTTTTTCTGTAAAATAAAATACCTCACAGGGTTTTAAGAGAATTAAATCTGTAGCTTAGGCACACAGCAAATATTCAGCATATTAATAAGTCAGCTGTTACCCCAACAGCACAGTGTGAGGACTGTGAGGTATGGTGAGAGACGAAGTCAGGGCAATGTGCAAGCAGATACTAATGCAGTCTTTCCACCCCCCCCCCCCCAAGATGGGGTTTCACCGTGATGGCCAGGCTGGTCTTGAACTCCTGACCTCAGGTGATCCACCCACCTCGGCCTCCCAAAGTGCTAGGATTACAGGTGTGAGCCACCGCGCCCAGCCAGTAATGCAGTCTTTACCACCAACAAAATCGGGGCACTTAAAAAAAGAAAGATTTTAGAGTTCTAAATCTAGATTAAAACTTTCAGAAAAGACGAATTCTGGACATGACTAAGATCTAGTAAATGAAAAGGAGTTTAAATTAGAAACGGTCAAGAGAAAGGATTCCTCTGCCTTTCACACCCTGGACTTTAAAACACATTTGATCCAATTATTTTCAGAATGGAAAAAGGCCATCTAATTATAGTTCAGAAGAATAAAAATCTGCTGGGGAGAAGACCCTTGATTACACACAAAGCCTCCCGATAAATTAGAGCTCACAGGACAGAGCCCCTTCACGTCCCTCACGCTGCAGCATCGGGTCAGTTTCCACCGTTTATACTGTACCGCTGCGTACACTACGCACTACCCCTCCTTAATCACTGAAAATTCTAAATGGCGTAATGGCATTTAGTTCTACCATCTGCTGGGAAAAACTGCTTCACTTAGATTTTTCTTTTCAATAAAAAAAAAAAATTTAAGTCTTCCATTGTCACAGAACAAAATAAAAACCAAGTCAGGGCAAAAGGCAAGATTTATGCAAGAAAAGACAGGCCCTGAGGGAATCCAGCTCAACAGACAGGCAGCTCCCGCTGAAGGGCCTCCCGCACTCAGACGGACGCCAAGGGTCCTGACTGTGTGTCCACGATAGAGTTGCTACTAACTGCTAGTCAGGGCAAAACCCCCTGTCCAAAGCACACCTGGAAGCTCCTGTAACCACAACGCCATCGGGTATTCAGTATGCTGTTGACGGGGTGGAGAGGGCTCACAGAGGCAGGTTTACAACTCTCCTCTGCTAAGTAAGAGCTGTTTGTCCCGGGAAGATCATGTCTAAGCCTCAGTTTCCCATCAGTAGAATGGAAGGAGTAATAGTCTAACAGAAGGTAACTAGCTTGCTGTCTGCATACAGCAGGTGCTCAGTAAGTGGTCCACACTGGTCTGCGGTCACTGGCCTGTGCTCCAGTCATGCAGAGTAATGGCTCTGCCAGCTCAGCGTGTCTGCACAGCATCGGCGAGACCAAGGTCAGCGGTAGCAGCATGGGACACCGGGCGGGGAGAGGAGGGCAAGAAAGTCAAAGGGGAAAAGGGGGTGACAGCGCAGACGGGGGGCCAGGCAGCAGTCTGTTAAGAGGGGGTGGGAAGGAGAACAGGCCAGGGGTTGGGGTAACGTAAGGTTAAGGGTAGGAGAAAGGCACAGACTGTCTACAAATGAGCCAGGTAGGCTGGGTAAGCCCAAAGCAAGCCATGTGGAGGTTCCCCCCCCCAACCCCACCTGCTGCTGCTGCTTCCGTCACAAAGCTGGATGCCTCACTCTGCCCTGGGGATGGGGGTCAGAGGAGGGCGTGACCCAAGGAAGCAGTGTAGCAATCAATTACGGTCAAACTTACATTCCAAAAAGAGCTCCTCCAAGATGTGCCGCATGATCAAAAACTTTCCATCCCAGGATCAATCCTGCTGTATCCATGGCAATAATGGCTTTTAGGGCCTGAAAGCCACCAAGAAAGAAGGGAAGTGGTCCAAGTGTGATTCCTCCAGTACTGACATCTTTAACTTAAGGGCAAGAACCCAGTCAACAGAAAAATACCACCACTATCCCCAGAACTTCACTTTACAAAAATACTTACATTCCCTGCTGTGAATGTGAGAATCGGAAGGAAAATAATGGCCAGCCTCCCTTCCGGCATCTTCGTGCAGACAGCTGCGAGGACCGTCATGATGGCACCGGACTGCGAAGGAACACAGCAGGGAGAATGGGAAACTCCAGACGCAACTGCTTAGTGGCTACAAGGTCTAAAGAGCAGCGCATTTTCTAGAAAGTTTATATGTTGCACATTTCTAGGTGAGCACAGGCTTAAGAGCTTTCAGTTACTAACGTTCCCAGTATCGGGCGAAGGAACTAAATGTTCTTCACACAATAATGGCTTAGAAAGACTGAATTTTTATGACGGGGCGGTGAGATGGATGACCACCAGCATGCGAGCGCTTCCTGAACCGCAAGGACGGCACTAAGCATGTCATGTGCAGCCCTGCACCTAAGGCCTAGGAAAGAACTCAAATTTCTCTGACAAAGCTCCCCAACCAGAGGGGGTGAGCATGAATCCACCCAAAGAAACCCGCACGTGTGAAGTATGTTTCATCTTAAAAACTTCATGTGAAATCTTTATTACTCTTCATAGAGAAACGAAACACTGCCCAGCGTGGTGGCTCACGCCTGTAATTCCAGCACACTAGGAGGCAGGAGGATCCCTTGAGCCCAGGAGGTCAAGGTTACAGTGAGCTATGACTGCACCACTGCACTCCTGCCTGGCCAACAGAGTGAGACCCTGCCTCAAAAATAATAAAAATAAAGGAATAAATTGATATACAGAACATGGATGAGTCTCAAAATAATTATATAGAGTAAATGAGGCCAGGACAACAAAAAGGAGCACACGCTGTATGATTCCATTTGCAAACTGATTTACCTTTACTGGAAGTAGGTAAGCTGTTGCCAGGGGAAGGGGCAGCACGGAACGGCCACACAGGAGCGCTGGGAAGCTTTTGGGGCTGAACATGTTCGTGATCTTGAGTTTGTGGTGACAGTTTCATGGGTATCTACATCTTAAAGCTTACAAATTATAACTTTAAATATGTGCAGTTTTTGGCATGTTAAGTAGTAAACCTGAGTTATCTGCTTTTTTTAAAAAAGAAAAAGACTATACGGGCTGGGCGTGGTGGCTCAGCCTATAATCCCAGCACTTTGGGGGGCCAAGAGTTTGACAGCAGCCTGACCAATGTGGTAAAACTCCATTCTCTACGAAAAATACAAAAAAAAAAAAAAATTAGCCAGGCGAGGTGGCTCGCGCCTGTAATCCTGGCATGTTGGGAGGCTGAAGCGGGTGGATCACCTGAGGTCAGGCCTTTGGGACTAGCCTGGCCAACGTGGTGAAACCCCATCTCTACTAAAAATACAAAAATAAGCTGGGCGTGGTGGCGTGTGCCTGTAGTCCCAGATACCTGGGAGGCTGAAGTTGCAGTGAGCCGAGATTGCACTACTGTATTCCAGCTAGGGCAACAGAGTGAGAGAAAAAAAAAAAAAAAAAAAAACTCCAAAACAAACCAAAATTACACTTTTCCCCAAAATGATGCAAATATAATTTGAATAGCTGTATGAAGAGCATCAAAATTCGATGAAGTTCCTCTAAATTACTTTTCTATAGATGATTATTCTCCATCTGTTAAGGAAAACTGTCATCTGTACAATTCTAGCACTGGTTTGTGATTATAACTTACTGTAATTATTGCACATTAAAGATAAAGCAGTTCCATCATCCTCCCAGAATTTTCTCAATGTGACTTTATATAAATGTAAACATTTATATGTTTGAATAAATCCCAACTTCTTTTTTGATAAAAGTCTAGGCTTACTCCAATGCAGGGAGGTTTTTTTCCCTTTTTCTAGTCAGAAGTTTTTAAGAATTGAATGAAAATGAACCCTTCTGTTCTCGGAGAACTTTCACATTCATACATAGTGTACGTACTGAGTCATGAACTCTGATCAAGGAGACCTAAGGGGTTTGGATCCATGGTAAGAGGTGAAGGTCTTCTGTTCCCCATCAATGTTTCTATGTACACTGGTTATATACTTGTCATCAATATACACATCTGGATTTTACTTATTTCATGAACATATATATATTTTTTGACACAGAGTCTCGCTGTTGCCCAAACTGGAGTGCGGTGGTGATCTCACTGCAACCTCCACCTCCTGGCTTCAAGTTTTTCTCCTACCTCAGCCTGCCAAGTAACTGGGATTACAGGTACACACCACCATGACTGGCTAATTTTTGCATTTTTAGGAGAGACAGGGTTTCACTAAGTCGGCCAAGCTGGTTTCAAACTCCTGGCCTCAAGTGATCCGCCCACCTCGGCCTCCCAAAGTGCTGGGATCACAGTAATGAGCCACCGCACCCGGCCTCATAAACATTTTTCTGCATCTGTATAATCTTCAACTCTCTCATACTTACAGTTTTTAACTTTTTTGGTATTCTAATTTAAGTGAATCTGCTCCCTCTGCTTACAAAAGCTAAGTAGAGATGAAGACCCTGGTGTTACCTATGAAACAAATGTCAGAGAACTCTGAGAGGGAGAGGAAAGCTGACCAGCCAGGAAGCCTGAGACTCAGTGGAAGTGGTGGTGAGTTCCCTGCCCGAGACTCAGTGCAAGTGGTGGTGAGTTCCCTGCCCGAGACTCAGTGCAAGTGGTGGTGAGTTCCCTGCCCGAGACTCAGTACAAGTGGTGGTGAGTTCCCTGCCCGAGACTCAGTGCAAGTGGTGGTGAGTTCCCTGCCCGAGACTCAATGGAAGTGGTGGTGAGTTCCCTGCCGGAGACTCAATGGAAGTGGTGGTGAGTTCCCTGCCCGAGACTCAGTGCAAGTGGTGGTGAGTTCCCTGAGCTCTATTTTGGCCTCATACTGATCATCCCCCAACGTGTTCTCTCTAGTCAAGGCACAAAAGAGGATAGCCAAGCACACACAGAGAACTGTTGGACAATATTTAGAGAAACAGTGGCCCAGCAAAGGCTGAGCAGGCCTAGACGTCCACCCTTGCCAGAATGTAATGAGGCATCCCAATACGCTCACAGGGTGGTGTCCATGGAAAGCACCCTTGCTCCTCCTAGCCACAGCAACATTAGCAGAGGTCTACCAGGTGGCCTGTACGCCAAGCTCCCATCCCTGCCCTGCAGTAATAAGAGCCCCTCTCCCTCAAGAGGCAAAGGCGGCTGCGGGAGGAACCTGGACATCTACTCCTACCCAGCAGTAGCCACCCCTCTCCTCATCAGAACAGTGGCAGAGGAAGACTACTCAAACAGCAGATCGCAATAGGATCCAAAGTTTCATCATACCCCAAGTGAGCAGGCTTCAACTGAAAAATCTCAACTTGAAAAAGAAAAGACAACTGGCTGGGTGCAGTGGCTCACACCAGTAACCCCAACACTTTGGCAGTCCCAGGCAGGAGGGTCACTTGAGCCCACGAGTTTGAGCCCAACCTTGGCAACATAGGGAGACCCTGACTCTACAGAAAAGCTTAATAATTATCCAGGATAGTAGCAATACAGTAATTTACAGACATATTTTTAAAGTCCCATTCAACTTTTTTTTTTTGAGATAGGGTCTCACTATGTTGGAGCACAGCAGCATGCTCATGGCTCACAGCAGCCTCAGCCGCCTGGACTCAAGCACCCTCCTACCTCAGTCTCCGGCAGGTGGGGTTACAAGTGCATGCCACCATGCTGGCTAACTGTGAGATGGGGTCTCACTATGTTGCCCAGGCTGGTCTCAAACCTCCTGGGTTCCAGTGATCCTCCTACCTTGGCTCCCCAAGTGTGGGGACTACAGGCGAGGGCCACTGTGCCTGGCTGCCCCTCATTTTATAACATCTCACTACACTGAGGACTAACACTTTACATTTTGCAGCAACACAATTTGGTCAACAGTGGTTTTTTTCCAGATCTCTCATTAAAATTTTGATTTCCTTTAATTTTAATCAAAGCTGCATGAAGATATTTGGGCGAATTTTATCCTCCCATGGCTCTGGAGGATTTTGATGACAACAGGAACCACCACATCCAGAGTTCTTGCTATGTGCTTTTTATGCTGCTAAGCATCCTAAGTGTACTTGCTTTGCACATCAGAAATACACATTGTTATCCCCATTTTCTATGAGGAAACCGAGGTTCAGAGTTTCCTAGAAATATGTAACATGTCTTAGAAATCACAGGTAAGCAGCAGAACCAGGGTTCACCCGCACTCTAATTCCAAATACCATGCTGGCAGACGTTATTAATTTTGCAGTTCAGCTTCTTATCTGTAAAATGAGGACCACAGTTGTCTCCGAGCACCTCAGAATGCCCTCGCAGATCCTTTCAGCTGAAGAGAAAGGCCTCTTCACCCTCGGATGCCCCAAGTCCTCCAGAGAATCTTCATTCCTTTCAGTGTGTATTAGGTGTGTATGTTTTCTCCCCAGCTAAACTTGAATTCTGAGTCTATGATTCACGCTAGTGGTCTTCACTCCCTTCATGTATTAGGTGCTTAGCTGCTGAATGAACTATTGAATGAGAGAATATGATTTGAAATATATAAATTATACCAGAGCAAACTTTTTTTTTCCTGAGGCAGAGTCTTGCTTTGTCACCCAGGATGGAGTGCAATGGCGTGATCTTAGCTCACTGCAACCTCTGCTTCCTGGGTTCAAGCGATTCTCCTGCTTCACCCTCCTGAGTCACTGGACTTACAGGTGCCCGCCACCTCACCTGGCGAATTTTCGTATTTTTAGGAGAGAGGGGGATTCACCATGTTGGGGTCAGGCTGATCTCGAACTCCTGACCTCGTGATCCACCCACCTCGGCCTCCCAAAGTGCTGGGATTACAGGCATGAGCCACCAGCCCCGGCGAGCAAAATTTTATAAAGAAAATAAACATTCAAAGCCAGGTGCGGTGGCTCACGCCTGTAATCCTAGCACTTTCGGAGGCTGAGGTGGGTGGATCACCTGAGGTCAGGAGTTCAAAACCAGCCTGGCCAACATGGTGAAACCCCATCTTTAAAAAAAATAAAATAAATTTTAAAAATAAAAAAAATAAAAAAAAAAAGAAAATAAACATTCCACAAAGGAAAAATGTGGCTTAAGAAGGCATGTCACTCTCAGGACAGAACACAGGCCTCACTAGGAAAATTAGGTGTAAACGAATTTGAGGAACACACAAATTAGGGAATGGTTATTTACATAAGAATTCTTTTCAAAATTGAACCTTTTTAGAGTTCCTTTAAATATGAAATCCCCTATTTGAATGCATTTAAATGAATTAGTATTTAAATATGTACAAACTGAATGTGTAGTTTAAAGAAATACAAAGATTTCCATGTGCCCTAGAAATCTGCCATTAAACTCAAAACACTTAAAAATTTTTCTTTTTTTCTTTGAGACAGGGTCTTGCTCTATTACCTGGGCTGGAATGCAATAGTGCGATCTCAGCTCACTGCAACCTCCAACTCCTGGGTTCACGCAATTCTCCTTCCTCAGCTTCTCAAGTAGCTGGGAATAAAGCATGCACCACCACACCTGGCTAATTTTTGTATTTTTAGTAGAGATGGGTTTTCACCATGTTGACCAGGTTGGTCTTGAACTCCTGACCTCAAGCGATCTGCCTACCTCAGCCTTCCAAAGTGCCAGGATTACAGGTGTGAGCCACTGCGCCTAAACTCAAAACACATTAAAAAAAAAAAAAATTTTTGGTGGCTCAAGCCTGTAATCCCAGCACTTTGGGAGGCCGAGGCTGGTGGATCACGAGGTCAAGAGATCGAGACCATCCTGGTCAACATGGTGAAACCCCATCTCTACTAAAAATACACAAAATCAGCTGGGCCTGGTGGCGCGTGCCTGTAATCCCAGCTACTCAGGAGGCTGAGGCAGGAGAATTGCCTGAACCCAGGAGGCGGAGGTTGCGGTGAGCCGAGATCGCACCACTGCACTCCAGCCTGGGTAACAAGAGCAAAACCCCGACCCAAAAAAAAAAAAAAAATATTTTTTTTTTTTTGAGATAGGGTCTTGCTTATGTCACCCAGACTCGAGTGCAGTGGTGCAATCCCAGCTTACCACAGCCTCAACCTTCTAGGCTCAAGCTATACCCCTACCTCCGGCTCCCGAGTAGCTAAGACTACAGGCATGAGCCACCACACCCAGTTAATTTTCTAACTTTTTTGTAGAGATGGGATCTTGCTATGTGACTGGTATTGAACCCTTGGGCTCATTCTCCCACCTCGGCCTCCCAATGTGCTGGGATTACAGGCGTGAGCCACTGCGTCCGACTACCTCGGAACATTTTTTTAAACATCCAGAATATAAGAGCTCTGAGGGGCAGGAACTTTTTTGTTGTTGTGCCCTACTTTCTAAAGCCACCACAAATAACCGTGACTGCTCACTGGCTGCAGCCCCAGGCTCTAGGATAGTACCTAGTAGGCACTCCAATATTGACTAAACAGGAGGATAAAGTACCACATTCAAATCTGTAATTAGAATTTTCCAATACTGGATTGGGCTCTCTGGTTTATGAGGATTGCATACTCACTGTTCTGAGATGTACTCTATTCCGGTAAGCACAAATATATGACCAATGGTTAAAAGCTACAGCCTGAAATCTACCAAGCTTTACAAATGTATACATTCTAAATTAAGTGAAAATTAGTCAACTGTATTGTTTCAATGTTAATTTCTTGGTTTCAATGTTAGTTAACAGTAGGGTGATGGGTATATTAGAACCCCTTATCAATTCTACAACATTCTTGTAAGTCTAAAATTACTTCAAAGTAAATGTAAAACTCAAATTTAAAAAATATTTTAAATGGAAATACTCACTGCACCAAGTGATGGTCCATATCTTCCTGTGGCCACTTTACACACGTAACTGACAAAATTGGAAATAACACCTGAGAAACAAGTCACATTTCAATAATTTAAGTGAGGTATAAAAACGGTTTGCATTTTTTCTGGAAACAGTTTCACTCTGTCACCCTGGCTGCTCGAGTGCAGTGGTGCAGTTTGGGCTCACTGCCACCTCAGCTACTGTGTTCAAGTCATTCTCGGGCCCCAGCCTCCAGAGTAGCTGGCATTAGAGGCGTGAGCCACCATGTCCAGCCATGAAAATGGTTTTCATTTCTGATTTCCACACAGATGAACAGCGTCAGGTTTCGACCTGGATCACTATGAGGTACAGGCATGAACACTTACCCTGTCTAACATTTCAGCGACTTCACAGGGATGAAAAGTCTGACCTGGTGCATGACCTGCTGAGCACCAGTCATTCCTTTACTCCTCAGTTATCACTTTCCTCAGCTAGAGCATGAAGACGCGTTCCTAAGAGTACATTCTCTGGGCTGTACTCCAGACACACTAACTCAGAATAGCTGGGGTGTGACACTAGACTGGATCATCCCTTACGTCTCTTTGGCTTCAGTGTCATTTGAGTCAACATGGCTCACTTTTAAAAACTTCCTATGGAGCAGGAATTAACATATCCGACACAGACCCTCTGTAACTACAACAATGTAACTCGCCCCTGGGAAATAACTATACACTTACTTATCTTACAAGCCAAAGGCATTGCTCAGCTTCTTTTTTTGAAGGACTAGAGACACCTAAGTATTCGATTAACACCAACTAAGCATCTACTCTGGGCCTTGTAGTGGATGCTTTTATTTAGTGCTTTCTTTAACCCCTTGTCATGAGAAGGTAAGTGTCATCATCCCCACAGAGGTTTAGTCGTTTCTGCAACATCACACAGCTGGTGGTAGAAACAGGATCTGAACCTAGGTCCATCTCCAAGCTCGGTCTTTTCACTACAGCACAGCACAAATGCAAGATACACCGTTTCTAAATGCGGAGGTTTTAGAAATTAATTTTGATATTTTATTGTTTTAAGGAAGTACATTTTACAGAGAGGTGAGTAAAATTTTATCAACTGTCACCGTAGCGGCCTCTAGGGACCTGGAATCATGCACGAGAACTTCCTAACTGAAATAAGAAAACAATGCTATCTGCAAGGCCACGACTAGGAAGTGGTTCCGTGCCAGCAAACATGCTTGCAAAGAAGACAGGACAAACTCTTTCTTGACAATCATATTGTATAGCTCTCATTTAAAGCCTTCTGTGAACTGAACACACTGGGGAAAATGAGCTTGCTTAAGGTTATTTAACAAAGACCCAGGAGATTGAGGCAGCCAGGAAGTCTGGGAACCACTATATAAAATGGTGGGCCTGAGCTAAAGAAACCGAGGCCCAGTGAGATTAAAAATAAATAAATAAAAAATAAAATGACATGCTTAAATTCTACACGAACCCTTACTTAACTCTTGTTTATCCCAACTTAAAATTAAGCATACCCCCATAATTCATATGTAGGAGGAAATCAGCAAAATGAGAAGCAGGAAAGGCAACATCTCCAGCAGTCTGTGGCACCCTTGAGAAACAAATACGTTCTGACCAATTACTCTGCGTAGAATATGGCAGCAACCATTCCCTTTGTCCCTTCTGAACAAAGGTTAGAGTGCTTATACTCTCAAAGGCCCCGAGATCAACGTGTATTACCTGCAGATAGGTACACTGCCATAAACTGCTCTTGACCCAGAAGGTTCACTATGCTGGAAGAGAAGCTCCACAAAACATACATATTTGCTGCCATGTGAATTAAGGAGAAATGACTGAATGTTGACAGCAACATTGGAGAACAAAGGACCTCTACAAAAGAAAGAAAAACACAGTCTGGTAATCATGGAACACACAGCCAATAAAAATTATCTATTTTAAACTTTTTAAATTAGGCTGGGTGCAGTGGCTGACGCCTGTAATCCCAGCACTTTGGGAAGCCAAGGCAGGCGGATCACTTTAAGTTGGGAGTTCAAGACCAGCCTGGCCAACATGGTGAAACCCCATCTCTATTAAAAATATTAGCTGGGCGTGGTGGCGCACGCCTATGCTTCCAGCTACTCAGGAGGCTGAGACGGGAGAATCACTGGGACCCAGGAGGTAGAAAAACAAATTAAGCATGGAAAACAAAAACAGCTATTTAAAAGCTTAATTAAGACTTTTTTTTTTTTTTTTTTTGAGACACAGTCTCTCGCTCTGTCACCCAGGCTGGAGTGCAGTGGCACGATCTTGGCTCACTGCAGCTTGAACTTCCTAGGCTCAAGTGATCCTCCCACCTCAGTCTCTTGAGTAGCTGAGACCACAGGCACACACCCCCACGCCCGGCTAATTTTTGTATTTTTAGTAGAGATCGGGTTTCACCGTGTTGCAGGCTGGTCTCGAACTCCTGAGCTCAAGCAGTTCACCTACCTCAGGCCTCCCCAAGTGCTGGGATTATAGGTGTGAGCCACCGTGCCCAGCCTAAGACATCATTTTTTAAAAGTGATACCTAGCTATCTTAATAAGTCTCTTTTCTACTTAGTAAGCAACCAATGAAAACTCTCAGTTCAATGAAAGCAATTTATTCTTATGGCAAAAGTTTATTAGAAAAAAATAAGCAGTCTGGGCAACATAGCGAGACCTCATCTGCACTAAAAACAAAAAAATTAGCTGGGCATGGTGGCATGCGCCTATAGCCCCAGCTCCTGGGGGCTGAGGTAGGAGGATCACTTGAGCCTCAGAAAGAGAGGTTGCAGTGAGCCAAGATTGCACCACTGCACTCTGGTCTGGGCAACAGAGCAACACCCTATCTCAAAAAAAAAAAAAAGAAAGCAAGAAAAAGTAAATTATGTCAATTATAAAGTTGTATATAATATTCTCCTTAAAGAATAAACCTGTGGACCAGGCACAGTGGCTCACACCTGTTGTAATCCCAGTACTTTGGGAGGCTGAGGCGGGTAGATCACTTGAAGCCAGGAGTTCAAGACCAACCTGGCCAATGTGGTGAAATCTTGTTTCTGTTAAAAATACAAAACTTAGGCCGGGCGCGGTGGCTCACGCCTATAATCCCAGCACTTTGGGAGGCCGAGGCGGGTGGATCACGAGGTCAAGAGATCGAGACCATCCTGGTCAACATGGTGAAACCCCGTCTCTACTAAAAATACAAAACATTAGCTGGGCATGGTGGCACGTGCCTGTAATCCCAGCTATTCAGGAGGCTGAGGCAGGAGAATTGCCTGAACCCAGGAGGCGGAGGTTGCGGTGAGCCGAGATCGCGCCATTGCACTCCAGCCTGGGTAACAAGAGCGAAACTCTGTCTTAAAAAAAAAAAAAAAAAAAAAAAAAAAATACAAAACTTAGCCAGGCATAGCGGCATGTGCCCATAATCCCAGCTACTCGGGAGGCTGAGGCATACTTGAACCCAGGAGGTGGAGGTTACAATGAGACAAGATTGCACCACTGCACTCCAGCCTGGGTGACACAGTGAAACTCTATCTCGGAAAAAAAAAAAAAAAAAAAAAGGCTCTTAATTTGTCAAAAAAAAATTTAGATATTTGCTATGTGTGAGATTCATTAGGATATTAGATTAAGAGAAATGAGCCTGAGTGTGGTGGCTCATGCCTGTTATCCCAAGACTTTGGGAAGCTGAGCCGGGCAGATCATCTGAGGTCAGGAGTTTGAGACCAGCCTGGCCAACATGGTGAAACCCTGTCTCTAATAAAAATACAAAAATTAGCTGGGTGTGGTGGCAGGCACCTGTAATCCCAGCTACTAGAGAGGCTGAGGCAGAAGAATCGCTTTGACCTGAGAGGCGGAGGTTGTAGTGAGCCAAGATCGCACCACTCTCTGGGAGAAAGAGCAAGAATTCATCTCAAAAAAAAAAAAAAAAGAACAAGAGATGAGGTTCCAGTCCTCAATCAGGGAGCTTGCAGCCTATTCTCTACATTTTGCTTGTAGCTACTGATGAGTAACTCGTCTTTTTTACAACATTTCAATTAACTAAAGCCTACTTCTTTCCTATTCTCTCTACCTTAAAATAAATCACACAAGTTAGACTTACTTACTTGAGGCTGGATTCGATGTGAAATATCTGGTCATTGTCCGATTCAGAGATGGTACTCTCCATAAACAGAATACAAGGACATTTGCAGCTATAATACCTACAAAATAAATATTTATAATTTAAGGAGGTTAAAAATAAAAGCAAAAATGTCTGACCTAAAGTACCCTCTTGTAAGATGTCCAGCACAGTTATGTAAGAGTACTGTATACTTGGGGGATGGGGGTGTGCTGAGAAAAGCAAGTGAAATCAGAGCTTTTAAAGTATCAGTACTGCCAAGAGCTGCTAAAGTCACAGAATGCCTGGAAAACTGCAGATGCTCTAGGAGCTAACTTCCTTTCCCCAGATCCATATTTTACTTCTTCAGAACAGTTTACTCTTCTCAATAATAATGGATCAATAATTTATTGTCTGTAACAGCCAAGCCAAAGACAGAAGTAAGACACCGAATTAGGTTCTTTGGCAAAGAGTAAAAAAGCTAACATTACTTCTTTTTCCTCAGGGCATGCTGCTTCTGAAACTTACTGCCAGCTTATGGAAACATATGAGTCATCTGTGTAGGTGAAGGTCAATGTGTTTGAGGAAAACACTTATTTGACAGGAATTCAGGGATAATTTAGAAAAAATCTGCAACTGCTTCTGAAGTATGTTTACATGTGAAATTTCCTCTTTCTGTAGGTGTTGATGTTGTCAGTAAGAAACTGAGTAGGTTTGTTTAATAGGATTAACTTGTTACATTTTAGAGAAGAAATTAAGTTATTCCTGAAAACTAGAAACTTAAAAAATATATTAATTTTATGAATTGCCACAACTCCTTCACATACAGGTATTCATCTACTGTTAAGAATTTAAACATGTATCCATTCCTCCAGTCTCTTCAGGCAACAGGCAAGTAGCACTTTCAACTTCGGACTAATTTCATAACATTTCAAATAAAAGAGGGTTTGTTCTAGAAGGCGCTCTTTGTCTGGTACCTGTCAGCTGCTACATCTTGGTGCTACCTGTGACTTCCACATCTGCTCATCCTGTCAGGCTGTCAGCTATCCCCTGGCATTTCTAGTCTGTCCAGTTTCTGCTCACCCACTTGAGATGTGGGAAAGGAAGCTACCATTTTCCACAGATCTTAAGACTTTTCCCCATTTTAATATCTGAAATCACAATGCATCTTATAATTGGTGGTATGTGATAGCTTGATTGGTAGCATTTTGTCTTTCTCTGTAGTACATTAAATGTTATTGCTTTTGTTGAACTGATTCCATCAGTTGTATCACACGTCACACTGGTGGGGACTGTGACAGCCATTATGGCATCTTTAGTAAATAATTACCTAGAACTCTTTTATGGTGAGAGGGACAGCGTTTATGCAAGGAGGGAGAAAAGGGATCACACACAGACACGGAAGAGCACTGTGTGCACTTCCCAGCGTGGAGCCTGGAACCCTGGGGAAGGGCAGAGCCTCCTCACAGGGACTGGAGCCTTGGGAGGTTTAGCCTACAGGAAGAGAGCAGGGATTCGTGTGGTCCAGGGTTCTTTAGTTTCCTTCGGGAGAGTTAATCATCTTTACTACCCAGAGTGCACCCTTAGGTCTACATTGTCACCCAGTGATTGATATCTTAGGGTAAAGACTGAGAATAGTCTGGCCATGATCATAAAGATCGGATTGCCACGATCATGGTCAGTCAGGGCTTTGCTGTTTTACTCTAAATGTGGTTCAAGGCAAAGACAACAAGGTGGGGTCCCTGATCCTGCCTGCTAAGCTGAAAAATGGCAATGACTACTCTGCCTCCTCTTGTCAATTCCAGGAGCGACTTCCTCAAACCACTGACATACAGCACACCCAGCTTCTGGAAACCACAGGCACCACAGCACTGTCAAAGAGGAGGATGTGTCTCTGCATAAAGTGATTACAATAAGGGAAAACACTTGAAAAATGGGAAAGATATAGGCTGGGCGCAGTGGCTCACGCCTATAATCCCAGCACTTTGGGAGGCCGAGGTGGGCAGATCACCTGAGGTCGGGAGTTCGAGACCAGCCTGACCAACATGGAGAAACCCTGTCTCTAGTAAAAATACAAAATTAGTCGGGCATGGTGGCACGTGCCTGTGGCCCCAACTACTCAAGAGGCTGAGGCAGGAGAATTGCTTGAACCTGAGGTTGTGGGGAGGTAGAGGTTGCAGTCAGCCAAGATTGCACCATTGCACTCCAGCCTGGACAATGAGAGCAAAACTCTATCTCAAAAAAAAAAAAAAAAAAAAAAAAAAAAAAGGGAAAGATAACCAAAAATATCAAGGTCAACAGGAGACAAAGAGTTAACACTGCTAAGTTTTCAATCCAAATGCAAGAGGCTTTTCTGATAAATTATGAGAGTATTGGCACTGAAACAGACTATAGTCAAAATCCCTTACTTCACAGGCCAGTGGTTATCCAACTGCTTTGATGAGGCACTCCATTAATAAGAGACACATCCCATGTATGTATGCTTACTAACAAATTATGTACATTAACCACTATAAATTCATCTTAAGATATACAAATTTAAAAGAAATAAGTAAAACACATATACTTTCTTCTTTGCAAACCCTATTCTGAAGGTCAATTACAGATAAGAAAAACTGAAGCTGTAAAAGGTACAAGTTGTCTGAGAGCCAAATTCAGTGGCCAAGCCAGAATTCCACAACTAGTGCTCTTTCTACTATACACCAAGACATGGGGAGCCAGGAAGATTTATTTTGACCTTGGTCATTCTAGGACTTCACATACCATATAAAAAGGGCTTCCTAGCTGAGAAATAGCACACACCAGTCCCCAGAAGCAGAGGAGCAGGAGAGGATGTGTGGCGATCCTAGGCCTACTGAGGCAGTGCCGCATTTTGGGTAAAAGCATGGGTGAAGGAGTCCAGCAGAAGTGACTCTGTCCAATTACATTATCACCTGGGCTTGTTTCCTCTTCTGTAAAATGGGAATAATAAAATCTACCTAAAGGGGTTGAATGGGCCAGGTGTGGTGGCTCACGCCTCTAATCTTAGCACTTTGGGAGGCCCAGGCAGGAGGATCCCTTGAGCCTACAAGTTTGAGGCCAGGCTGCACAACATAGTGAGACCTCTTCTTTACAAAAAATGAACAAAATCAGCTGGGCGTGGTGGCACATGCTTGTAGTCCCAGCTATTTGGGAGGCTAAGGTGAGAGGATTGCTTGAGCCCAGGAGGTCAAGTCTGCAGTGAGCCAAAACTGTGCCACTACACACCAGTCTGGGTGACAGGGGGAGACCCTGTCTCAAAAATAAATAAATAAAAATAAAGAAAAGAAAAAGGAAAAAAAAAAAGGGTCGGGTGACGACAAAACGAGAAAGCATGATTCAATGTAGCAGTCACAAGGTGACGAGCCAACGAATGGATAACATGGTGAAAAGAGAATGACCTTCCCAGAACTGAATCCTAACTATGTCACTTGGCAGCTTTGTGGCCTGTGGCGTTTTATTCCCTCATTTGTAAAATGAGGATAACACCTCCTACCTCATAAAGGTTGTAGTGAGGCTTAAATAAGATAATACATGCACCAGTATGCAGATGATCACAGAGTAATGGTTTCCTCCTCTCTCCTTCCCCTTTTGTGTATCTCCACTCAGGAGGAATGTCACCTGCTTCTTCTTGACTCAGTAGCTCTTGGGCAAGCTTGGCACTGCTGATTCAGGAAGGCTGCTGTCCTAGTGCCTAATGTCACACCTGTGTAATGCACTGGACGTCAGCGAAAAACAACTCTCCTTCATAAGAGCAATGAAAGAACTGGCAAAAAATGTCAGAATCAACTTTTTCAGAACTCTGGAAACTAATCAAAGGCTTATAGCAAACCAGGGAGTATTTATTTGAGAAAAATAGCTGAATCTCAAAACAGCTAGCTTTGTAGCATTTTAACTTGTCCTAGTCCAATCTCCCATTCTCTAGTTACAAGGTAGTCTTGAAAGCAGAGGTAGCTGGTAGAATGGAATTGGGGCTCTTTCAAAGCCTCATTCCCAAAGAACTGTCATTATTTGACCTGGCTGTTGGTTCCATGGAAGACCCATTTTTTTGGTTTCCACCTAACCAGTGTGCCAAGGAAGACCCACTTTCAAGGCTGTCTGTTTAACCTGATGGGGAGCTCTCCAAGTACAAAGCTCCTTTCACAGAGGGCATTTGTCAAAAACAATGACAGGTAAGTGTTTTAAGTTTGAAGCTGCCTGAGATGGTATATAACACTTGGGGGCAAACAGGAGACTAATCAAAAATCTTAAAATGAAAAGCAGGGGAATAAGATTTCCACAGAAACTCTGAAAACCTCCAACATAGTCCTGGACTGTAGAAGGCCACATGCATAGTAAGACAAAACAGACCTTAAGACAAAATTCATTGCTAAAGAAGGATATTATATAATGATTAAAAGGTCAATCCATCAAGATATAACAATTAGAAACATATGCACCTAACAATAGAATCTCAAAAGACATGAAGAAAAATGGACAGAATTGAAGGAAAAAGTAACTCTCCAATAACAGCTGGAGACTGCAGAACTCCATTTGCAATAATGGAGAGAATGATCACATGATCAGCAAGGACGGAGAAGACTTCAGCAACTCTATTAAACAACGAGACTTCACGGACATTTACAGAAGATGCCGCCAAGTGACAGAATATCCATTCTGCTCAAGTACACATGGAACATATTCCAGGCTACGTTCAGTCACAAAACAACTTTCAATAAACTAAAACACTAACATTATATGAAGTATGCCCTCTGATCACATGGAATGAAATTACAAATCAATATAGAAATAAATTCAGAAAATTAAACAGTATGCGGAAATTAACACACTCCTAAGTAACCAACGGGTCAAAGAAGAAATCACAAGGGCAACTAGGAAACTGAGATGAATGAGGACAAAACATATAGGATGCACCAAAAGTGGTGCTATGAATGCCCACATTGAAAAAGGAGACCTCAAATCAATAATCTAACTGTTCACCTTAGGAAACGTAAAGAGAAGAGCAAACTAAAACCAAAGCAAGCAGAAGGAAGGAAGGAATGAAAAACACAGATAAATGAACAGAAAAACAGAAAAATTAATAAA